TGTACATTTTCTGTTAATGAACAGCAAAAGGTGTAATTACGATTTTGAGACGACAATACCACAAAATATGGACGGCTAGTTGGGTGAAAATATAAGCTAAGGGCGCAAGCAACAAGCGTGAAAATTTGACGCGCGCGCGCACAAGCTTTCCTTTTCGCCGGCTCGTTAGCCAAGCGGAAACCTGAATTTTGAAACGGCAATACCACAAAATATTGGAGACTATTTAGTGAATCTTGATACATATTAATGTTTTTAAAAAACATCTTCATTTATGATATAATGTAATGCAAACCTACAAAGAAACACTTATAAAATCAAGGCATACTCGAATAGTCTAATCCTTACCAGTAGATATTTATAAGCTTTGCTAGTTCGTGGTAAAATATCTTGGAGTTTAACTATTTTTTGAAATAAAACTTTCCAAGGGACATATTCTGTTTCTTTTCTCATGTACTCAGTCATGTTAATGGCTGTAGAGTAGTTGAGTTTGTTGCCCCTTTGAAAACACAATAAGAAAGTCAGTAGAGAATCAAAGCGAGCGTTAAAATATTTTATGTAAATGGAGGAAACTCAAACTGACTCACTCTGCTAGAAGAAATGCGTCCATAAGAATTCCAGCCCTGTCTGAGGGACTGAGAACCTGGGAGAAAAGAAATTGAGATCAATGATGAGTTATGTTAGCACTATGCATGGTTTCTTTAGCATGACTAGTAGGCATATTATCAGATCATCTTGTAATAATTAATAATCTGTTCGCATTTCTATTGTTCAACATTACGCGTGGTTATCATTCAGATGCGCGCATGMGCATTGTTCCCAGTACTGTGTGATTATCGTTCAGCTGTGCGCATGCGTATTGTTCACATTACCGTGTGATTATCATTGAGCTGTGCACATGCGTATTGTTCTCATTACCGTGCGGTTTTCATTCAGCTGTACGCATGCGTATTGTTCTCATTGCCGTGTGGTTGTCATTCAGCTGTGCGCATGCATATTGTCCACATTACCGTGTGGTTATCATTCARCTGTTTCGCAAGTGCTTTCCAGTTGCTCTCTTCGTAGTTGGTGATGTAAAACCCTTTGTAGTTCGTATTTGCTTTGATCCATCCACGACCATCMCAGGGAATGACCGCTGAATATTATGAATAATGTCGTTAATGAAACATTAGTTTATAAAATTCAATACTTACATTTATTCCCAAGCAATCCAACAAATAAAGTTCTAATTCTTGAATATGATTTCTGGAAAAGACCCCTTTTTCTGTTTATGGTATGAAAAGTTTTTGTTTGATTCACACACATCAATGCTAGTTTATTTTCCAAAGCATTGTTTTCCAAAGCACGTTTGAAAGTCAAACACAGGAACCAATACTAATTACAGCGATACGCATCAAAGCATAACCAACATAAAATGGCCTATTTAACAGTGGACTTTCATGGACTATCAACATGAAGTAACACATACTTGATGACATGTTCATCMAATCAAAATGGCTGCCTGTCTTGTTGTTGATGACGTAGGACAGTGGAATCACCCATGAGTATCTGAATGAATAAAACCAAGGGATCATGTATTGATTATAACCACGGTGGAGTATCAAAACTAGACCATATACACACACACATATATATACATATTAATTGTAAGAAATTGCACGACTTTGCACAAATTTGTAAGCTTAGTAGACTGTTTGTTAGTTAACTTTTTCACTGATATATGGTATGCGCTCTACTGTTAAGTTGAGTGGGATCGAGGCATGATAATTACTCATGGTACACTAATACCACACGCGCTGTTTTACCCAAAAGGAGACTTGTAGGTTGAATTGGTGACGTTGTCGTCTAGAAGGAAGCGACTTTGATTGACCAGATAGTGGGTTGAGTTGATTCTGTTGAACGTTACCACAGGGTAGCCCATCTGTAGTATCCATGCATCCATGATTTGCTTAATACCCACGCACTTCCCACGTGCACAACTAGCCTATACAAATAGTTCATTAATGTAAATAAATGGGTTTTTATCAAAAAGTCATGTTAAGTAGGACATAATCACGTAAATATCTATATGACACATATGCCATAAACATGAGTTGGCGATAGGAGGAATACGAATGGACCTCTTTCCCTTGCATTTGGAGGTAATATTTTGCCCGTTTCACACCAAGTTTTGTTCCCTATAGTATCATTTCTTTGTTTAACGGTTGAACTTAAACGGCAAATKAATATGGATACAACTAAAATAAGGAATCTTTTTCTCAAGAGAATGACAGGCGGTCTGGGATGGGAAAATATTAGGCAATAGCTAGAGAGGTCTATATCTTTGTTATTGGTTGTATTTGAAGGAAAAAAGAAAGTCTGTTTTTCATAGCAAGTGTATCCATTTTCTAATGATCATGCACTTGTTACTTTTGTAGTTATAAGGGAAATTATCACTCACTATTAACTCATGCAGGTTTGATACTGAATTAGCCATGCGCATAATTCTTGTCTACAAAAAACTAGACGCGTTACAAGTGTCACAATAGTCCCCTTCAAAGTTCCCTGCGCCATCTTGAAAGGTAGCCTTGCCTTTGTATCGTAGCGAGACGAATGGTGGGCTTGTAATGATAGATATGTGTGAATAATTGTCCAAGGTGTTAAAAAATGTCTCTATCATTACGAGCTCACCGTTCGTGTCGCTTCGATGCAAATGTACAGCTACCTTTTATGGCGCAGGGAAAGGGACTATTGCTATTCGATATTAACCTCAGTCATGGCTCTCCACAGGTCATCTGATTCAGCGTTAGAAAAGGCGTGTCTTTTCAAGTAGATCTGAAAGAATTAAGAGAAAATCATTCTATAGCTATATGATAAAAATGTTGTGTGATAGCAGAGATGCAGCTTAAATATATATTGATGTGGTTTAGAGAAAGGGATTCGGTTTCCCATTACGCATTAGTTCAACAACAAAAATAGAAAGGGTTAATGTAGAGATAAAAAAAAGGGTAATATATCGGCTCTCTCCATGACTCGACAAAACTGGTCGACTTCCTGTTACAACCACGGGAACTTCCACACCAAAACGCGCTCATGATTTATCTTGTGTAACAAAACGCGCTCATCTCCCTTGATTCTAAGGCTTTCGCTACGCCCTTCATTGAGAGCAATTTTGGTATGAATATCAATTCGTATGATGACGTTGAAATGGTTTCCGATTGTCTTCCAGAAATCTATGCAATAACAGCATGTATCTAAAGCTACGGTATCTTATTGTATCTAAAGCTACGGTAAGTTCGTTTCCCACTCGAAGCACAAAATACGCAAAACGCTCAAAGCGCTGTAATAATCCACGAACTCAAATCATAAATGTGCAGAGATTGAAGAGATAGGGATATGATAGGGAATGATATCACTGACTTTCTTTAGAACATTATACTGACTTTTAACCCGTCAAGAAATGTCTCCTCTCCAAGAAAACTCTCCATCATTCTGATAATGCAGCCAGCCTGGTAATAAATTAAAAGAAATGAATAAGTTTTAGTATTGATTTTGCTCTCAGTCTAATTAGATAACTTTCAATAACCATTTTTATCTCAATTGAATCCAGCTGACTGATAAAGAAAGATATATTTTGTAAGTGCATATCCAATTTTTTTAAACAACGGATACCTAGAAAAATGGGAAAGGAAGAAGAATGAAATTGAAGACAACAATTAACGATGACGACGATGACGATGTCAACGACAACAACAACAACAACAACAGCAAAATATACAAAGACTAGAAGAAGAAAAACAAGGAAAAAGGGTTGATGGCGGAAGAAAGTAGAGGAGTTGAAGGAAACTGAGTATGAATCTAGCATGAACAAGAGGGGTTTTTATACTGACACATTAATTGTTGGTTTAAGTGGTTTATATCGTTTAAAATCATCAATCAAGAATTGAATAGCTTGTGAATGTCTGCTAATCATGCTGTATGCCTAGATTGGTTTACTATATTGGTACTATTAAACTGAAACTGAAACACTGTTGTCGCACCTTACTATAGTAGATAGTAGACGGCAGGTCCATCACATCAGAAGCTTTTCTAGATTCCACTCTTATTGGATTAGAAGACACTTTACCATCAACTTGGAATGAGTCTCCCATTATTGTAGTGATCATGTCATCTTGCTGTAAGAATCATACAMACATAAAATATAAATGATGATGGGTAACTTGATTTAAAAATTTTTATCAGGCCCTAAATTATTCGGCTGGAGATTTTAAAGGTTACGAATCCTCTTTGAGTGACCCCAAAACAATGCTTCAAGTGAAGATTGGACTTTGGACTTGATAAAATACCTACAGTAAATGTACGAATACATAAATCAAACTAGTCTCCAAGACTCCATAGACTATTTACAAATCATAATTTGATTTAGAATGATTTTATAGTAACTACTTGCTATTTTTTTTTAAATGAACTTTTATTAGATTATCATGATCTATAACGGGGATATGTTGTTTATAAAATATGGATTGCTAGATAAATCGTTTATTTCAATACAATACATAATCATTTATAAAAAGTCTATATAATAATCTAACTATGAAATAATAATCGATAATATGCACATTATATTTATACGATACTATAGGAAAGATTGTGACGTTTTCATAAAAATTCAGGTTTCAAAGATAATAATAATAATGATATAGAAAAGCAGCCCTTAGAAAATATGGTTTAAAGAAGGGAATGAATTTATCATTCTTATACCCCATTCACACCAAGGCTTAAACATGTTTTAAAGTGGTTTAACTAAACAGGTTTGGAAAACTATCTACGAACACTGCACAATATTTGGTGAAATAATACATGCAAACTATCCTTTTGTCTTGCTCTGATAATATTTTAGAAAGTTTCATTATTTTGTAGGTTTCTAGTTTCTCATTTTTTTCCTAATGAAAACATAGTTTAACTAAACACGTTTAGGTGTGAATGGGGTATTAATCTATATGTCAAGTCCATGTCATGTCTATTGTATTTATCTTACTGTAAATTTACTGTTATGTTATATCAGGACTCCATTTAAATTACCCTTGCTAAACTAGATGAGCCTGTATAAATATTGACTTAAATAAATAAAGGAGAAAAGGCTACAATGATAGTCAATATTTACCTGTTTCCACTCTGGTTGGGCTATCTTCATTCCCACGTTCTCGAAATACGTTGCAAAGCCTTCATTCAGCCATAAGTCGTTCCACCATTTCATTGTAACAATGTTACCAAACCACTAGGGTTWAAAAAAATCAACTGAACTTGATCACAAACAAGGAAGCAAATGAACGAACGAGGAGAATAGAAAAACTACATGAAAGGAATACCAATAGACGTTTTTTTCCCGAAATTGTGGAAAAAGAGGTGTGTTGTTAGACACTCATTTACTCAGCGTTAGCCTCATTTTGCGTCAGAATATTATTATCAAAACCAAATTGACGTAAATCATTCTTTAACTAAGAAATAAAATAACAAAACGAAATACTACAACAAAAGCTTGTAGAGTTATGACGATGGAGCGCGCATAAATAAGAGAGGGAAACTTCGTAATATTGCGCGCGCCATGTAAATTCCTGGTAATATTGGGCTACTTTTAGATTTCACACCCTTTTCCCATGCGTCAACTAGCGCGAGGGCGCTCTTTCCGTGTTGTAGTGATCAAATCGATCAAAACAGCTGATCAAAACAACAATCGGAAAGAGCTAGCATGCGCTACGTGACGTATGGTAAGTCGTTATTTAAACTGCTTCCAGTTTTAATGCTCTCTTGCATGGTTATAATCAACTTACCTGGTGAGCGAGTTCGTGAGCTATGATTTGAGCAACCAATTTTTTGTCACGTTCTGTCGATTCATTAGCGTCCCATAACAACGCAATTTCTTCATATGTGATTATCCCCCAATTTTCCATTGCTCCTTCGAATCCAGGAATCGCAGCCTGATCTATAAAAAAGATTAAGAAATGATACCTTGTGAGAGTCATTCTTCTTTGTTGTTCCTTCCTTCTTCCTTTCCTTTGTTACAATCGATCTATCATTTATTAGCTATAGTCAAATCCAACTAGAGGTCTATCGTCATTGCTGCATTCTGATTAGACGAGCTACTACTAGGCTATAAGTTATAGTCTACTAATAGCGAAAAGTGTCAGCTTTGAAAACGAAAAAAGGTTTAGATTATAAAGATTAGACCTTTAGCCCTTGTGGAATATACTAGTCAATAGCCGGTCTTTTAACTCATACGTTGCGCGGCGTGTCTGTTGTTATAACCCAAGGATAAATTTCGTTTTTCCTTCCTCCCTCCCTCCCTCCCTCCCTACCTTCCTTCCTTCCTTCCTTCCTTCCTTCCTTTCTTTAGCATAGTATTCTCAAGAAAAGAATTATGCAGTTTGTGCGATTGAACTGCTCGCCTAATGTGCAAACACGGGTATAGCATTTTATTACATTGATTATTGTGTTTGTATTGAGCATTATTAAAGATACTTTGCTTTCTTACCTTCTTTAGACAGTGAGTATTCAACACCAAGATAATCCTCGAAGAACGTCATAATCTTCCCTCCAATACTCGATGCGTATTTAGTTTTATTAATAAAAGATGGTCGGCTGTAATACCTCATCTGTATAGAAAATCAAACCCTTAATTTAAGAAACCCCTATGAATTTGCTAACAATGACTTGTAGAGTTTTAGTAGTTTTAGTTAAAGTTTTGATATTTAACGGAGGTAACGTTGCCGCCCGGCTATTCCTATTAGCCATTCYGAGGTTGAGAAAAAAACTCGGTGGCGTTTGCATTTTTCAGTGCATTGTGAAACTGTTAACGTTTAGCAGTGCATATTTCTAAGAAAAACGCGGCACCAAAGCAGCACCAGAAAAGGACCACGACTAGAAAATCTACTCTAATATGACAGCGATTCCGGATATAGACTAGAGGCGCATTGATGAGAGGCGAGCGCTCTCACCGCTTCTTCTCCCGCCAGTGCTTCCACAGGGACCGCGTAGAGGTACGGGGGAGGGGACTTACTACTTCATATGCTAATATCCACTAAAACTGTGCCTACTTTTCTCACCGTGATGTTCTTCTTGCTAATCGTCTCCACATATTTAAAGTCTCCTACTACAAATGCTAATAGATACGTTGACATGGTAACGGTCTTCTCGTAGTAGTCAATCTTCTGTCCATTTGCTCTCTCAGTCTTGTAGATAGGCATGTTGGACAGCGCGACGTAATCAGATCGACGACTGATCGATACATTGAATGTGGCTTTGAGGGCGGGTTCATCAAAACAAGGAAATGCTCTTCGAGCGTAGTCAGGCTCAAACTGAGTTGAAGCAAAGTTACTGTTGACAAAAAGAAAATCAGCAATTTACTAGAAGAAAAATACAATTATATGAATGAGAGTGAGTTTTAGTTATGGCATAAAACGTGCACGCGCTTCGTTTTTAGGTTATTATTGCCTGAACTTTCTATTGTTTCAAACGCACTAATATGAAACCTTAGCTGATTGCCTCATGGGATGATTTACACCTTGCATTCTAAACAAAAGTGACAAAAACCTCGTGTTTTGAACAGTTTGAGTGTCTTCACTGTAAAGGGCAGATATTRCATTATTTTTTTCAATGTTACACGAACTCCAAGATTACCACTGTTAATTTTTCATGGAAATTAATTTATTTTTCCTACCGTCAGTCGAACGCAGCGTACATTTACCAGTCGAAAACTCCGTCAAATACACGTTGTAATCGTAAATACTTCCAGTTTCATTGCCAACGCATTTGTTAACGCATTTGGTTGAACACGTTTGAATACACGAAAATTCAGTGATCATATATCATACCTAGGTTTCACTTTTCAAGTTATTTTTTACTTTTAAGATAACAAATTACGACAAATAAGACAGCAACTGAACTAAATTACATTGCAATTATATTAAATATGTGTAAATTCATTACTATTTATAGTCCGTGACTTACACTTTTTGGCCATCTGGTCGAGAATAAGTTTTTCGATACAATCCTTCATTGTCATTAGCCTCAAAAACACCATTAAACACTAACTTTAAAGTGTATAGTCCCGGATGAACATCGGATGCCATTCGGATCACGTGAAAAGTGTTGCGTGCAAATTCAAAGTGGCTTTGGACGGCAAGGATTTCTATGCAAAAGGAAATAATAAAAATAAAAATAATGATAATAATAATAATAATAATAATAATAATAATAAT